AAAGTTAGAATTTTTGGAAATTCGAAGATCCCGAAGTATAAAATAACTGTCTGAAAATTGAAGATCCAAGAAAGAGTTTTTCTTCAGAGCGTTAGAAACATAAAATTTTCCAATATTTAAATTTTTAATTCTGTTGTACAAAGTATGCAAGACGAATGTTTAAAGGAAAATTTTTCCCTTTTATTTTTAAAGGAAAATATCAATAAACACGAAATCTTGTACCCAATTCGAATCTGTTTGTGCAAGTTTAGGACGTTTGAAAGGATCTCGCTGAGATAAGATTCCCTAAGGGAGAATTTTTCTTTGGAGAACAAAAGATCCGAGCAGATAGAATTCGTACTTCTTTAACATTCTTTGAACAGAATCCTAGCAACTGATACGCGAATAACAAGAATTTAAAGAAGAATATTTTTCTTTGTGCGACAAACGATCCGGAAAGGTAAAATCTCCTCTTTTCCAATATCCAGAATTAGATTTTCAATCTCGTCCATCGAATCCCTCTGTCGAGAGAATGAAATGCAGAATTTAATAAAAAAAAAACAAACATAACAAAACAGAAAAAAATAAATAAAACGATTGGAAAAGAGCGTACGTGAAAAATTCATATCTAGAATTACCATTTATATGTGTTTTATTGTATATATCGTATATATGTATGTCTACGTGTATGCATACTACAGTTGGATATATAACCAAGTATCTACATATTTTTATGTCCATCATACGTTCATCCCTATCAATTAGAACAAAATACAACAGCAACGCAGAGGAGCAGACCATTTAACAAATATAACAAGATTATGAGCTTCGTTCTTCGCTCAATAATTACCTGCCGCTTTACTGCTTATCATTTATTACAGTGATTCTGTTCTTACCCTCGTAAATTACGTTTACTGCGCTAAACTTCTAGTTAATTCGTACAAAACTCGTAAAACGGAATAAAAGAGTAATCCGTAACATCATTATCTACAAAATGACCTACGCAATAGTAACTGAATTGAGCGTGTCTTATTCTTGGTCGAAGTTAGAAATGGATTATACTTTTATTATTTGTCAGATAATGAACTATTTTTTTTTTTTTTTGACTCGTCGATATTCTTTGACAAGGAATGTAATTGTAAAACGCGTGTTTTTCAATCCTGTAGTATTATTTTCATTTCTCGAAAGAAGAATTTCTCTTTAATATCTTTTTCTCACTTCAACTAGAAAAGAAAAAAATAATTGATTTAATTGTGTAAATTCTTTCATATATGTATAAATATAAATACAGTGTTTGTTTTCACTAAAAGGATATCGGTGTGCTCTGCAATGAAAAATAAGGAAAAAATGTTGTTTAAAATTATAATAAAAATACCAAAACTACAAGTTTATTCGGTATTGATATTAATTACGGTACGTAGCATCAAAACGCCTCTATAAGTTGCAACGATCGCTAATAAGAAACGCAACCCTCTAAATTAAATATTTTGCAAGAAACGAATCATTACTTTATATATTATATATTATAACTTTATATAATAATATAATATTATAATATTAAATTAAATAAAATTAATATAATTAATTAAATTAAATTAAATTACATCAATGATATTATAATATTAATATTATATTATAACTTTATATAATAACATAATATTATAATATTAAATTAAATAAAATTAATATAATTAATTTATATTATAATATTAAATTAAATAAAATTAATATAATTAATTTATATTATAATATTAAATTAAATTACATTAATGATATTATAATATTAATATTATATTATATTTATATATTATAACTTTATAATATATAATAATACAATTACGACCCTACGTTTTAATCCTACATTTTTTCCCTTATTTTCAATCGTAGGAAATACACCGATTGATGTACGATGTTCACACGTTCGATTAAAAATTCATTTTTTCACGAGCGCAAGAATCAACACTGTATAGACAGTTGGCGACCAAAATTTCACCAGGCTTCGATTAATATTCCACACTCATCGAACAATATATATATATATAGACATAGGTGCTGTCCACTCGAATAACTATATCATTGCTACTCAACGTGATTGCCACTACAATTTCGCCGGTCGCGTCCATAGAAATCGACCACTTCACGGTACACGCGATTTCAACGGCAATTCGAACGACACTGCTCGCAACAGTTGGAATCGTAACAGCCGTCCAAGAGACTGATCGTGGTAGGGGAATCGGAAATCCACGAATTCATCCCAATCAAAGAAGGCGTACGTCGACTTTCGCCACCTCCAATCGCCGTGGTTTAGTGTCCGAAAAAATATACGTTGAAGGTGAGCAAAAAAAGAAAATCGCGAAACAATATCGTGCTCTGTCAAGGTGGTGATGTTACTTGAAAAATAATTTTGATTTCTTTCTTGGCGAAAAATTTTATCTCTGGTTTTTATTATTTCTAGTTTTCTAGTTTTATTTTTGTTTTTATTACTTCTAGTTTTCTTTATTTTCTTTTGTTTTTTGTTTTTTTCTTTAGGATTTAGAAGATTTAGTTTTAACTCCGGTTTTTAGACTGCAAATGTATTTTTTTTCATTTAGAAGCTTTCGCTTTTGGAATTTAGAATTTGGAAGTTTTTACCATATTTATATATATATATACTTCTGTAAAAACTTCTAAATTTTAAATGGACAAAATTCCAAAAGCGAAAGCTTCCAAATGAAGAAAAATACATTTGCAGTCTAAAAACTGGAGCTAAAACTAAATTTTCTTCCAAATGAAGAAAAAATACATTTACTTATATATATAATAGAATTTTGAAGGTTTTTCTTTTAGTTTCTCATCATTTATTTCGAACTTGGAAGATTTCAGCCCTCGCGATTATGGAAGTTCTTTGCTTCAGAATTTTATAAGCACTCGGAATTTAGGAGTTTCCGGTTCCTTAGATTACAAAAGTTTCTCCTTTTGAATTTTATTTATTTGAAGTTTTTTAAGTTTCAATTTAACCAGAAATTCTTAAAACGGAATTTCATTTATTTAGAATTTAGAAGCTTTAAGATTCATTCCGTGGATTATTATTTCTTTCGTCTAATCATTAAAATTCCTTTTGTTCTCTCTTTTCTTAAATTCTGTAATATCTGTATCTATTCAGATGCAACAACGATTTTGCAAGAGAATAAACAATAAACTCAATAATACGATACAACGGCGGAGTGATTATCGCAGATAGGCTGTATAGAAGATAAACTGTATCATTGATTAGTTACCACATCCGATATTGTTATTTTCCCTTGATACATACGTCTAGGAAAACGCTGTTTTATTTATGGTATGACCTAGTGCTTGGGGCACCATTGAAATAGTTGCGCAATTGTAACGCGAGACGATTGAATGTCGGCTGTCACGACAATTAACAATTTTTCGATTCATCAACATAAAACAAGCCTATCTGCGTTCGCCATAATACGCCGCGGCGGCGGAGGAGGAAGAGGAGAAGGAGGCAAGAACGCGAAAAGATCGGTCGATAATTATTTCGCCCGCGATCGCCGATCCGAAACAGCCACGCGGCAAAGCGAACTCAATTTCGAGTTTCCTCTGACCAGTTCGCCGTTCGTAGTTTCTACAGAGGACGGAAAATGGGGTGGCCGCCGCGACGGTTTGAACGTTAAACATCGGTTTATCCTGACAGAGGCCACCTCCCCAACCCCACGTTGCCGACTATAGATCATTTAACGGGCTGGCGCACCTTAACACCAACGAACGTCTACGAATCGAAACTTGCGTGTAACTAGTTAACCGGAGTTCCGCTACAACACGTTGCCGGTGAATTTCCGTTGTTAATCGAGAAACTCTCTCTCGACCTCGTATTCGGACCGGGGGCTTCTAATTACTGAATTCTCACGTGGGCCCCTAATCTGTAATATTGCTGCCCTTTGGTCCTCGTTTCACCTTGGCAGGTGGTAATAAATACGGTACGAAGACGCTTGTGATGTTTCAGGACGTGGTCAGAGCTTCTCGATTATTATTATTTTCTTTTTCTTTTGATATTGTTCTTTAGGGTAGTTGAAATTGAGAGAGAGAGAGAGAGAGAGAGAGTTTCCTGCAACTGCAGAAGACTTTAGAAATTTAGAAAGTTTGATGCGTATAAATTTGGATCGCACCGTTTATTTGATTTGTTTGAGCCGAATTTTAATCATTAATCTGATTAAATGAACTCTTTTTTAATAATTCGTATTTGAACCTGAACTTGTATTTTATATATATATATATATTCATTCTATTATATTATATATATATATATTAAATTTTTTATATTAATATTCTACTATATTATAAATATATTACATATATATATAATATATTTATAATATGATAGAATATTAATATAAAAAATTTAATATACATATATATATATATATATATACATTATATTACATATATATATATACATTATATTACATATATATATATATATAATATATTTATAATATGAAAAATTTAATATATATATATACATTCTATTATATTATATATATAATAATATATTATATTATATACATTCTATTATATTGTATATATATTAAATTTTTTATATTAATATTCTATTATATTATAAATATATATACGAACGATAAAAGGACTTTTATCACATAAACTGTAATTACATTTGTCCTCAGACAAGTTCACATACGTTCACGTACGATAAACGACAATGCTCGCCAATTCAATCAATGATCATAGGCCATGGGCCTTCTATCTGTTCCTTTTATGTGCATTTCTGTGAAACTTTAAATACGCCTCTTTATAAAATAAATGTCACAATGTAAAAGAGAATTAAAACAAAGAGAGCTTGTCGTTGGAATCTTTCTTTTCTCCTTTATTTTTTTTTTTTTTTTTCTTTTTTTTTCCTCTGTCAACTCTCTTCCGTTCCCTTTCGAACGAACCTTGATTTCCATTTTCACTTTCAACAGTCCCCAATAACTACTCCGCGTCGACGTTATCGTTTAAAAGAACGAGGAATAGGTACTCACTTTTAATTTGCGCCTTGCGTTGAATTTCTTCAAACAGTCCACAGTCTCTTGTCTGTGGACGACGGACGCGACACGTTCACGTTGCTGTAACACGAGAAAGAGAAACAGTATGATTAACGTTGGCCGTTGGTGATTGCCTTCTGAGTGATGGATGGACGCTTCCAACGAGGCTGATTTTACTTACGCAGATCCACGGGTGCTTCAGTGCCTCGCTGGCGGTGATCCTTTTGCTCGGGTTCACCGTCAGCATCTGATTGATCAGATTCTTGGCTTCCGGCGTGACGGTGTCCCATTCCGGGCTCGGATACTGCAAACAAGAGGGGAACAAACAAGGCGCGTCACATTCGGTGAACGTTTGTGAAACCTCGCGGAAATTTTCACGACGAGATTCGATTCTTCCAAAATTTTTCTTTCTTTTTTTTGTCTTTTTGGAAATTTACACGTTTCTAATTCGAGGGTTGATTTTATCCTCCTGCATTCATATGAAAGTCCACTTTTCTAAAGGAGAAGATTTTTCAAGGAAAGAAATATTTTTATAGTTTTCTAATAGAAAATCGTGATTGGTGTACACACGTGACGTCACGTTTCAATTTATTTGTACTGAGAAGTGGAGAAAAGAAGTGATATTCAAGAAGGAGAAGTAATATTTTTTATAACCAAGTCCGATCATCTTGCTTTTTAAACTTGAGAGAGATAGTGCTGCTTCTAGCTTCAGTTCGCTGAAGCGCCAATTTAAGAGATAAATCTAACTCGCGAGGAATGAGTTTAACGAATTAAAATTTCATAGAAATTGACCCATATGAGATACAGTGAACGCTAAACCTTCGTCATCCAAAAAGCAGCTCAGAACCGAGTAAAAAATTCAGGGAGCAATCAAACTTCGATCGATCAACTTTAATTCTCTTTCGAATCACTTTCAAACATCGGGTAGAACGAAGGATTTTCGTGAAAATTTGTCCTGAATAAACGAGGTTGATCGATCGTGTTTGAGGAAGGTGTTTCTGGGAAATCGAGATGAAACTAGCATGAGCACAGTAGCAGCTCTTACGTCGTACGATCCGGCCTTGATCTGCGCGTACAGTCGATGCTGATCCTCGTCCCAGAATGGCGGATAACCGACCAGAAGGATGTAAAGTATCACACCGCACGCCCAGATGTCGACTGGCTTGCCGTATGGTTCTTTCTTGAGGACTTCCGGGCTGAGGTAACCGGGCGTCCCGGCGAAACCTTTACAAGGATTGTTATTTGATTTGATTATCGAGTCAAGAGAAATTTTACCACCATTTTCCAGAATTTTTCTTTTGAATGTTACAAGAATTATTTTTGTATTGATTATTGCCAAGAGAAATTTTATTAACATCTCGAGTTGGACAAAATGTAATTTTTCTGCTAGATAAATACACATGTATATATCTTATATAATGTAACCAACTTTAGTTTAAATTCATTGCACAATCTAATATCTGATTGTCCAAGCTTGTTTCAGAAAAAAGAGAATGCACGATCTCGTTAATAATTGTTTGTTAGTTATATTACTTTTTTTTATTGATAATATTTAATTTTATTATATTACTTACTTTTTTTTATTGATAATATTTAATTTAATTTTATTTTTATTTTATTGATAATATTTAATTTTATTTTTATTTTATTGATAATATTTAATTTTATTTTTATTTTATTGATAATATTTAATTTTATTTTTCTAAATTTTATTGGGAATTCACGCACAAACTTGTGTATTTTATTATATACTAAAATTTTATATACTTAGAAAACACGTGGTCACGATGGTTGGTTGTAGATAGCATTTGTATCTTTCTTTATTAAAACACCGGATGGGGCTTTCAACGCCCATTTTCGAGATATTATTTTACCCTGAAAGGAATTTCGTTTCTATGGTATATCTGCTAAAACGCGAGATTGGAAATTTTATAAATTTCGACGTTTCAAAAATGTTTATCTACAATATTGACATTTTTTAAAAGGGGAAAAGGATTTCACTCTTTGAAAAATGATTTCACTCTAAAAGCAACTTTTCAGAAAGAGAGAGAGAGAAATAACATGGATAAGAGCTATATAGATCCCTCGTGATAACTTTTCAGAACTTTCATCCGTAGAATTCGCTTCTATTAAATTTATAACTTTCGCGAAACTCCGTTAAAAGGATAAAGAATTTCGTGAGATGGCGAACGGTAACCTAACCTAAACTTCTTTCATAACGAAGTAAATCGATCGATTTACTTGTCGTGAGAGAGGTGAAGAAGATCGAAGCTAATCGAAGCTACGATCTACACTCGCGTCTCGAGTGTCTAACTCTGCTAATGATCACGATGTCTTCGAGGCTTCGAGTGGACGACTCGAGTTTCGAATTTCGCGCGTTTCACGACGAAGATACGGAAACCAGGGCCTCCATCGACTAGAGTCACAGTCGTCGAGAGAATTTCGCGCTATCGGCTTCTCGACGACGCGACGGAAACGAACGTCAGTGTCAGTTTGAAACCGGTGTTCGTTCGACAGACAGTTCGAGGATGGAGAGTGGCGAACGCTGTTCCGGAGATCCCAGCCATCAAAATGGCTTCCCTCTGTTGGACACCGTTTCTTTCTACGAAGGAAGCCGATTTCTCTTAGATTTTCACAGATGAGACGTTCTGCCTGTTGGAAACGAAAAATTGGAGAATTTTCAGTAGCGATATAATTTACACAATTTAAGGAGCAAGTTTGCGATTGATCTGAGACTGAGGTAATTGGATGTCAAACATCTTCAAACCTCTTCGAATATTTTGCCCGATTATTTTAGTTCGTTTTCGTGATACTGACAACTCGTTTTTCTTTTTGATTCTTTGACAATTTAGAGAAGCACAATGAGAGGGAAAAGAAGGAAACATTCAGACTATAAATTTATACGATTTAAAAAAGAAATGTTTAGAAATGTGGAATTATTTTACAAAGCTGGATCGACAAGCCAAATGTAACTTTCGACGTCTTCGGTCCACAATTCTAACAAAGTAGTTTATATTTTTAAAATCAACCTAAGAATATGACGTACTTTTTGCGGAGGATGTCGAAGAACAATTATTGTTAAAAAATTCATTCCGCCCACCTTTTATTAACCAAACCCTTTTTCGACCACGAAGAATAACACTTTGCGTGAAATAGACTTTCGTCCCACAATCTCTGTGTTCCAATCTCTAACAACTAGACCGTATTTTTTCGGAGTGTAATTTGAAAAAAGAAAAAATAGAATCCTGGCACAAAAATATTGTGTTACACACTCTACGCGTGTAAGCTTTCACTTTCAAATTCCCCACAAATGCAAAAATCCGCAGATCGACTAACAACACGATAATACAACCTAAAAGTCCCGCTGCAAAAAAGTAGCAAAAAATGAATGGAACAATACATGGAAAATAATGAAAAGCACCCAACTACACAAAAGTATCCAAGACTTTCACCAGCAAACACCAAACCTCACCAACAGGAAAAAAGGAATAATTATCTCACGCCTAAGAATCGGTCGTACCAAGCTGACACATGAACACAAACTCAAAAAAACTACACCATCTGCGCTCATTGCAATAACCATTCACTAACACAATAACCCACATACATGCACGAATGCCACACCACAGAAATCCAAAGACAGAACCAACGCAAACATAAACCTGACTTCTCAAAATGACATACAAAGAGTATTAGAATATCTCAAAAACATAAACTACTACACATATCTAATGGCACCGTCGTCGCTAATGACCTCGCTGTCGATGCGACAATAAATTAAAAATAGAAGAAGAAGAAGAAGAAGACAACCTAAAGGAATATATTTTGTCTGAGACCTGAAAAACACACACACACACACACACACAACAACATATCGAGTGAACGCAAACAACTTCAAACAGCGCGGACAGGTCTGAATCTGACTCGATTGGTAACGAAAGGAGGAAAAGAAAGACAGAGAGGGAGAGAGAAGAAAAAGAAGAAACAACATTCAATCTCGCGGAACAATATGGAGGAATCTGAGAGGGCGAGAGCCCAGTTTCCGGAGCGGTGAGTGGCTTCTTTGACCGCAAACACAATACGGAAAAATCTCCGAAAGAGGGAGGGAAATCTACTTTGCCTGCGAAAACGCGGCAGAACTTTTCCAATAGCCAGGCCGGGCGAGTTCTTCTCTCTCTCTCTCTCTTTCTCTCTTTCTCTATGAGTAGAAACAAACGGGAATAGCCGGTCGAACCAGCCAGTTTCTGACGTGACACGACAGAATATAAATGCCTAACCCTTTGCCGTTTCTCCACTGATGTACGACGCGTGTCTCTGCGACGAGGAAAAGTTGGAAGAGGACCGAAGAATGTTTGAAGAAATAGAAGAAACGAATGAAAATGTCGATTCCCAACACACCGACAGTGGGAGTGATAAATAAGGAAGAATCGAAGGGGAGAAAGTACAGAACTGAATTTTGTTTTGCTGTCGAAATGCGTTAAAATTTCCAGCTGAATACAAAACACATTTACAATATGATTATCTTTTTTTTTTTCAATAATCTATATTAAATAATTATTGTACTATATTATATTATGTTATCATTTTATCTTTTATTATACTGGTAACGGGGATTTATTCTGAATTTATGTTTATTTGTTATGTTTGTTCCTTCGTTGCATAAATATTATTCTTTTTGGCACATCACTTTATTCTGAAGCATGTATACTTTGCGTTTGTTCATTGCCCTTATCCTATATAATTCTGTTGTGTAAATATTATATTTTTCGTCATACTGGTCACTCTGAAGTATATTTTACGTTCATTTATTGCATCACTCAAATATAATTCTTGCTCTCCAAAAATATAATGTATCGTTTCATCATTTATTTCTTGAACTTTCTTTCGTCGATTTCACCGTATGAAGTTGGACAGAATGATTTCCAAGCATTGCATAATTAAAAGGAATTGAAAAATGAAGTATCTTATTCTCCGTAAGTTTGGTGCACACTATTTCATTCTAATTATAAATACAATCTGAATAGTAGCAGTTTGTAAATAAACGTCAATGTTTTTGACAAAAATTTTATCTTCCGAAAAAAAAAGAAAAAAAAACAATTTCTCATAATTTTATCTTTCAAAATTGACAGGATGCTTTTGGACAGTGGCGTATTTTTCGTGATTAGAAAATACTTGGAAATTATATTGGCCAAGTCCATCATCATACAAATGGTAATAAACAAAGAAAAGTTTAAGAAACAAATCTTCAATCAATTTTTCTTACTATTTATTTCATTCATTCCTTTATTTATCATTTTATTATCCTCATATACTACGAAATGTTCACACCGCAAATGTTCAAAAGTATCGAAAACCATCATAAAAGAGAGACACAAAATAAATACCACTGTATTTGTTTCAAATACATGGAAAGACGAAAATCAGCAAAATCTCAATTCATATATATATAATATAGTATTTACATATATAAACTTATATATATATATAATATAATATAAATTTAATACATATATATTTTATATATAATATATTATAATTATTAAATATATATATAATTGTGTATAATATATTATAATTATTAAATATATATATATATATAATTATGTATAATATATTATAATTATTAAATATATATATAGTTATATATAAAATATAATATATTATATTTTATATATAATATAAATTTATATACATAATATACTATTTATATATATATATAAACTCGTGGCAAACAAAAGACCTGACTGTTTCTGAATATTTTCAAATGCTCGCTGTCCTTTCAGCGCCACGTGCGAGATCTTTTGCGAAGTTAAAGAAAATTTAAAAAAAAAAAATGGAGAAAAGTGGCGTGCTATACTTACCGAACCATGCCTGTGCTTCGCCCTGCACCTCGATCGCTAATCCGAAGTCCGCTAATTTCACAGCCGCGCCCTTCGCCTTACTCGCGAGTAGTAAATTTTCAGGCTGCAACAGGAAGCAGACACAGTCGCGCAAATCGTTGCCATCGGCTTTACGCGGCCATGCTGTAGGATTTGATCCATTAACAGGGGACCTAGACGCGCGAACCTTCCACATTTTGCGTCGTTTTTACTTTCATCATCTTTCACGTTTTTTTTTTTCTTTTCTTTCCTTTTTTCTTTCCTTTCTTTCGCACGGTTTCCACGAAACGCCACGGTCGTGCTCTCGCGTTTCTTTTCACGCGTCTCCTGTCCTTCCCTTTCGTTTTTTTTTCTTTTTCTATTTCCCGGTTACTCGTTTCCTCACCCGTCCACAGTCGAATTAATTCCAGCTTCGCTTTTTTCTCTCTCACGGCGATCTGAAAATTCCTTCCCTTTGACGTTCTTCTGCTTTTGAAATTCGCGCGAATTCACGTCGCGCGCGCGACGATTCGAAGGATGACTTAGACTGACGCGAGACTGAAATTAGTAATTTCCCCGCGAAAGTGTTTCGTTCTTCTACGGAACGATCGTCGAAGATGTTTGGAAGATAGTTAATACAGAGAAAAGAACAATTACGACATTAAAACTCGTTCGGTGTCTTCTACTTAGTCGTAATAAAATTTGAAATTCAAATTCTTTTGCCATCCGGAAGAATTATTATCGTACAACATTCGAGGAAACATTGTATTTAAAACTGATATAAATTTGAAAGTCTTTAATATTTCTGTAATTGACTCTAAACCCAATCTAGACTTTACTCGAGAATTTTTACTGAATAAATGATTATGAAAACTGATTTAAATTTCTCTTTTCCCATATATGTATTCGTACTTTGCCTCTCTCCCACTTATTTATTAATCTAATCCTAAATTCCCAGAATTTAAACTCGAAGTCCACTAGAATTCTTCTCCTTTATACTCAACAAAATTGATTCAAATTTCACTTTGCTTTTCCACGTATCTATTTCTTCTTTTATCCTTTTCTCTGCCCATTTATTCCCTAATTTAGCAAAGCTGAGACTCGAAAATATATTACGTATTCTCATCCCAAAGGAATCCTCGTTGCACTGTGCCGAACAAAATAAAATACTCCATTGAAAATTGACTTAACTTTCTCTTTGGTTTCCTGCATCAACCTCGATCTTTTATCTTGGAAATTTTAGACTTCCAGAAACAAATATTATTCAAATATACAAATGTTATTAACACAAATGTTATTCATGAATGGAAGAAACTTTCGAGATCTAACCTACTATTTTCTACCTGCTTCTCTTTCGATTTTTTTTTTTTTTTTTTCTTTCCATTTAACCACTCTCGCCCTGTCGTTTAACTGTGAAAACGTTCGGTTAAACCTGGAACATTTGCGTTACAGGTGTACTGGACCTTCTCAAGCAGAGACCAAATCGGTATTACCGGTAAAACACCGATATTTTTAGGTTTCTATTCGATTACGTTCGATGAAACCGAAATAATGCGAATACCGGTATGATGCTATCAAAACGATGTTAGATCGGTAGATGTATTTCGGTATAATACCGGTAAATAAAATATTAATATATTAGAAAAGGAAATGGAGACAATGATCAAATGTTTTCATAAAGCTGCCGATAGTAAATTTGATGACGCTTATACACGTATCCTTAATTATTTCTAATGCTAATTCATCGTTGTATCTTCGTACAATATCAGCCACGATACTCTTACTTAATTTGAAAAGATGACTGATTTCTCGACACGTTTTTCCTTTTTTTCGATGAAAAATGACTAATTACTCGTACGTCGATAAATCGAAAGAAGAGTTGAAACAACGATTAATCGTAGAATGGAAGAATATTCCGCTAAATTATTTAAAAAAAAATTACTGGGAATATATATGCCTAAGTGTCTGCGATATATCATTGAAGTTAGGGGCTACCTAACAAAATATTAATTACTGTTTATGTTAACAATTTTCAGGCTCAAATATTGTAGTTCCTCAAATGTCCGAATATTTTTGCCACGCTACATTTCGACACAGGTTCGGTTTATTGTTCGACGTTGAGAAAAGTATGTGCGATAAATAAATAAAATTTATGTTACTATAAACTATAACGAATCTATTATATTATTAAGAAAATTAATCCAAATTTACTATTATGAACAATCGAAATCCACAACAATATTTTGAATAGCACGATGTCCGAATATTGATAAGAGTCACTGTACGTAGAAAATGAAAAATGTGTTTTCGTCGGTAAAGCGGTATTTTTACCGTTGTGGGCATCAAATACCGATAAAATAAGTATGAAAATACCGGTATGACCGTCTTATACCGGTATTAAAACCGATTTCCCAAATAGCGGTTATATTACGATAATATGGAAGCAAATACCGGTATAATGCCTAAACCTCACAATATTTCGGTTTCAGTCGCCTGGTATAATACCTAAACCTCAAAATATTTCGGTTTTCAGTCTCTGTTCTCAAGCATGGCGTCTAGTTCGTCCGTAACAATCGTTTCTCTACGTACTTTCAGGTCCCTGTGCACAACTCCATTGTGATGGCAGTGGTGTACGCTTTCCAGGATTTGTTGGATACAGTGAGACGCGTCCGCTTCGCTGTAGAATTCTCGCGCCACAATATCCTCGAACAGTTCACCGCCAGTTACTCTGAAAGTCACACGTTCGACACACGTTGTTAAGGAACTTGATGAATGTAGGAATTAATCATATGTCATAAGTCGCCCCAAAGTGTCACACAAGCGCGGCAAAAAAGAGTCAATAGTGAGTATAACATAGTATTACAGTTGTTGTTACAATATTTCTACATCAGCAAGTCCCGAAGTGAAAGTCTTGTCTTGTTAGAATGAAACTTCCGTAAAACTGCGAAGTGTAATTTTTTAATTATATCGTAACAATTTCCTGAACTCTTCGAATGAGGATTTGAAGTGGACTAGGTGGACAGAGAGGATCGGTGAAAAAATTTTGGAAGATTTCGAGAACTGGTTGGATATCAGAAAGCTGAAGAGGAGAATTCGAGTGCTATGAAATTTTGGGAATCGGATGTTCGGAAATTGGAAGCTCGAGGATTATGACAAAATTATAAAATTCAGAGAATATAAAATCCGAGCGTGAAGAATAAGAAGATTGTCGACTTGAAACACGAGAGAAATAAAAAATTTATTTGTGAATTACATGTAAAAGAAATAAAAAATCTAAGAATCAAATGTTACAAAACTGTAAAATTTGGAGATTAGTTTGTTAAAAGGTTAGAGACTCTGAGTTGTAATGAAAGAAATTTGAGAATTTCATACTACACTGCAAAATTTGGAACATCAGAAAAATATAATGTTTAAAAACTAAACAAATCTGAAGATTTCTATAACAAATTGCATTTCTATAAACTTTCTATAACAAAAGTTTCACAATAAATTAAAAAAAAAGTGTTCTGTGTTAAAATTATGGTTTGACTTGCACTTTTATCATATACTTAAACAACTCTATACTTTTATCGTATAACTGTGCTAAAACAACACACAAATATTTACTAAAAAGTATAAAAATTTCATAGAAACGCGAACAGTATCGAATGATCTGACAATTAAATACCATGTCGTGGTACTTTCCACCGCGGAACATTATATCGCGACCATGCGACCTCATTAATATGCAAATCGAAGTTGATTTAAATTCACGAGGACAGACCATTCGAATAATCAGCCAGTGACTGGGACAAATTAACAATTAATCGGACAAAGTCGCGAGAATCAGAGGAAAAAGGGGGAAAGACGAAGACGTTTAGTATCCTGAATATATGATTAAGTTTTTAACCGATTCTTTGATAAAACTCTTCTAGTCATCGCAGAATATCATCACATTTTACGTGTTCAACTTTCCAACAAATCGAATTATTAATCGTTGGTTAAAAATTTTTAGGAATTGAAAGGTAAATTATCAATAATTATATTAATTCAAAAGACTGTCAATAATTATATTAATTTTAAATAAGGATTGATATGTATATATATGACAGACTATAATGATCAAAATTATACTAATAACAAGATGATAAATATTTTACTTCAATTTGAATAAAAAGAACATTCGTTTTAAAGGAAAGTTTCACTTTCGTTACGTAAGAGTTACGTGTACGTAAGAGTTTCTTTTGAAAAAGTTTCAAATTGATTGAAGAGAATTTTAGAAATATGATTAAAAAGGATTTCACTTTAGAAAAGCATACAATTTTATATGTATGTATAAATAGTAAGGAATAATTTTTTCTTTTTAGTGTTATTTTATAGTTTCGAATCAACTTACAAGTCGAAGACGAGGTAATGGTGGTTCTCCTCCTGTATGCTGTCGTGTAATCTCACTGTAACAGAAATAAAGACAGAACAAGTTAATTTCATCCAGTTTCTTTCTTCTTTTTTCAAATAACGCGAATATTATAAAAAAAAAGCAAGAGTAGTATTTCAAAAACTTGGTTTCAATCATAGATTCATATCTGTTTATGAAAATATTTTTACTAGAATATTAAAGAGTATAAATTTATAATTAATAAAAACATAATCTTAAAGACTTTTGCAATTTTTACACGAAAGATCTAACTCGCCATTTAATAATTTATTCTTTGATCTGACGATCAACAAGTAGCCACTGCAATATTCGAGTGCTAAACTCGCTCGAGTTTGAATACTCAAATACTAATTCGAGAATAAAATAATCTCTAATAATCTAAAATAAAATTTTTAATAATTTAAAAATAACTCGGGAGTAAACTACTATTTACGCATGGCCATATTTAACGAAATATTTCTGAAACGTATCGCCGCGAAATCGTTTCCAAACAAGAACCAACCAACCCTAAGCTCCAAGGCGAGGGCGAGAGCGAAAGACAGAAGAAGAAACGTTTCCCGCTTCACTCCTGTTTCACCATTAAAAGCCAGGAACACAGTTTCTAGGCACAAAAGGACAGACTCTAATACAGAGAAACGATAATCTAGGCTGTTTCGACGTTTCCTCGATTTCGCGACATTTCCGCGAAACTTCTCACTCAACTGCTCGCGAAGCAAGCCACCGAATTCTGGCGGAGATAAAAAAAAAAAAGAAAGAAAGGAAAAAAGAAAGAAAGAAAGCGCGAAGGTGGAAGACAGGAAAAGTAGAAGAACGACTGAAGAAGCACAAAATTGTCGCGATATCGTGTTCGACGATGTTCACGGTTCGTTTGCACAAACCACGTTGGCACCCTTGCGACGCGTTCCATGCAAACAACATGTCATTACGAATTCTCGTTAGACTTTGCACGAGCATGTACATTTGAATTTCTATTTTGCTCAATATTTCAATCAAATACTTTTATAAAATATAAATAAATAAAATATTATCAAAAATAAAAATTAAACGAAATAAAACATTATCAATTATGTATTATCAAATACTTTTACAAAACATAAATAAATAAAAATTAAGCAAAATAAAATATTATATATTATGAAATACTTCTATGAAACATAAATAAATAAAAATTAAGCAAAATAAAGTATTATCAAAATAAAAATTAAACGAAATGAAATATTATCAATTATATATTATCAAACACTTTTATAAAACATAAATAAATAAAAATTAAGCAAAATAAAGTATTATCAATTATATATTGTCAAATACTTTTATAAAACATAAGTAAATAAAGTATTATCAAAATAAAAATTAAACGAAATGAAATATTATCAATTATATATTATCAAATACTTTTATAAAACATAAATAAACAAAATATTATCAAAATAAAAATCAAACAAAATGAAATATTGTCAGTTATATATTATCAAATGTTTTTTATAAAATATAAATAAATAAATAAAGTATTGACAAAATAAAAATTAAATAAAATATTATCAATTATATATTATCAAATACTTTTTATTTGATTAAACAGATCTTAGATAATCTACGGAATGTATAATTTACCAACCCACAGTCTACTTACGTTTGAGAAAATTAAATTTGAAAATTTCTCAAGCACGCAAGTATTGATCTTCTTTCATCGATGTCAGCTCGTTAATGGAAAATTAAAAATATAATTAAAATTTGAGAAGATTTTGCAAAGTCAAAGCCACAACGACGAATATATGTATATATATATAAATTTAACACAAACAATATCTGGTGGCAAAAATGTATCAATTTCAATGACAAAATAATTAAATCGATAAACTTCTGGTGAAGATCTGTGAAAAGTAAAATTTTTGCAATTGCACACGTGTCGCGACGGTTCTCCATAACGTCTAAATTTGCCCCTTCAATTAATCGGAACGTTCGAGATGCATGTTCGAATCAGTTCCCCGATTCACAGAGCAAACGCGTTAACTACATTTCGCAGGTCCAATTAGTCTTTCGAACGATCGCGTCGTTCTCCTCTTTGTTTCTTTTCACTCTCTGCCCCTCTTTTATTTCCACTCCTTTCCAGTTAACCAGGATGCTCCTTCCTATATTTTTTCCGTTAATTTCACCATATTTCTTTCTTTTTTTTCCCCCCGCTTTGCAAGCGCGTTATCGCGCGTTTCTGCAAAATGAACAGCCGTTTGAAACGTTGCAATTAAGAGTGCCAAATGAGAGCGCGGAATATAAAAGCCAGGAGACGATGAAGACGGGGAAAAACGCTTTAGAGGCTATAGAGTGACGATTATTAATTGTTATGTGTTAAATTTCGTTTAATTCGTGTCACGCGAGACATTTAATCAGATGTTGAAATTATAATATATAAAAAATTATAACATATTGTGATATATTTTACATTTTATTTTTATATTTTTTCTAATATATTTTATATATTTTACATTTTATTTTTATATTTTTTGTAATATATTTTACATATTTTACATTTTATTTTTATATTTTTTACAATATATTTTATATATTTTACATTTATATTGCGATACATTTATTTATTATATATTAATATAACTATATATTAATATTTTTATCTTTGGAGGTTATGGAGAAGACGATTATTAATTGTTAGATATCAAATTTAGTTCGTTCAATTCACAAGAGACATTATTCAGATATTGAAATATAATATATTTATTTATTAACAACTATATTATATACTAATATTTCTTATATTATAACTATACACATTATTTATATATCACATATATATTACAACACAAATCGTGATTTTGGGATTATTAGCAGAGTAACTTTCATGTCTGCACTGAAATTTTATTAATAACTATTAATAAACGAAGGACGATTATTATGATTTTAATTACATTGGTGAAATTTGAGATCAATCCAATTTGTACGCACACAGAGATTACAAGTGCATAATAAATGTTAAACGAACATTCCCGCTGAACATTAAAGCTCATTAATTATTATTGCCGAGGTTTGTTAATTAATGTTATTAAGGTCCCATCGAATGCATTAGAAGCATAAAGATCGTATCGAAGAGACTCGAAATGCAAAGAACAAACGGTGAAAACGTCTATTCGCGTGTTTTACAAAAAATTATTCAGAAACACTGGAAATACAATCTGTTGTGGAATCTTATATATATATAAAAATTATGAGCCTTGAAATTAAAATCTTATATTATAATAAGATTCAATTTATAAAAATTATTATGTTATAAAATTAATTTATAAAAAAAATTATACACCATATATCACATTATAAGATTTAATTTATAAAAATTACTTAATTACTTAACTGTTGAATTATTTCACTTGTAAAAATTCACAAATCGGTCATTTCGACTAATATTTCTTATATAATTATACACATTATTTATATATCATATATGTTATAAGACAAATCGTGATTACTGGGATTATCAGCAGTACACTTTCATGTGTACATTGAAATTTTATTAATAAACGAAAGACAACTGGCAGCGTTAAAGTACTAGAATCAACTGTACGTGTAAGAAAATATACGAGACGTTCATGATGAAAAAGCAACGGTGGGAATTATTCAAAGCGCGAGAATAATATTCGGCGGCGGCACGCGAGGATCGATACGCGTGTCACACGCGTCCCGGAGTATCATTTGCATCGGCCGGCAGTTTTGCTCGATCGCCTCGGCCGCGTTCATTAGGGTCAACGAGGAGACGACGGTTTCTGCGCGATGCGAACCAATGGCCGTCGTCGAATCGGCCTTAATTAGTGTCAAGTGAATACCAGTGAGGCCCCGACCGAAAAATCCTCGCCTTCGTCCGCAGCGTGAAACGCTTTATTCACCCATTTCTCTCTCTCTCTCTCTCTCTCTCTCTCTCCCCTCCACAGCGAAACTTTTATCAAAAGAGGATCTCCTCTCCTTCCGGCTTTCTTCTATAAACACGCTGAAATTTTATTATCGAGTGAAAAACGCGCTCGGAAAGAGAAGGTGAAAAACTTTTCAAACGAGGTACACGAAGACGCTCTTTTTAACGAGAGCCCGGGACGTTTCATCATTGAACGGAGTGTCCCCCCTCCTCTTCCCGCGGAATTTTATTAAAGTAAGATACGATCCCTTGTAATGACGGGGTTCTGAGGGACACTTGGGCAAGACGAGTTAAAAGTTCGAATCCGCGTAACTTTCTGATTTGACTTTATTCCGGGCACAGTTTTCACTTGCAAGATAATATAATTTGTTAGTTGTTTCGTAAATAACTATGGAATCTGTATAGTTTGCGTGGATTTTAAGAATTCGAGACATTCGTTTGAAATAAATATTTTTAACTGGGAGGATTATTAAATTCAATAAACTTTTTAGTTTGAAATAAGCTTAAATAAGAAAAATATTTGATCATTGATTTAAAGTTATTGGAATAAATTACCTTAGGGATGTAAAAGCGTCATATGTTTTTATAGATATCTTACAGCGATAAGATAACGTTTCTTATATTCATTTTCATAGGTAAATTCAAATTTTACTTTGCTGGAAGGAAGTTCTACTGTAGAATCAAGTGGATAGGTCAAAGTGTAGAAAATGTGTTCATTGCTATTGTCATTAGAAAATTGTTGCTACTAAGAATTATTATTGAAATTTATAAAAATTGTAGGGGGCAATTATGAGAACATTTGATTTCACTTTCACAGGCGAGAAATATCGTCAACGTTCAAATATCTCAAAAATTGTCAAGTTTTAATTAACATATCATAACGCGTTATAAATTCGACACACGTTGGCAACAAATATAACAACAATATTTCTAAACGTCTCCCTCGAGTTGTTTACAAACTGCAATCAAAAAGCAAATAAACGTCCGATGAAACAAACATCTATCATGAAAACTGTTTTTAACCTAGAAAAGTAGAACAGAGAAACATAAAAATATAAAAGAAACGCCATTGATCGAACCTACAATAATTCAATCGTGTTTGTACGTGCAGGTACAAAAGTTATCCACCGTCTGACGATTAAATAATAATATCCAATAAAAGAGTCTAATTTTAAGTGACGAAATCTACGACTCGAGGAGACAACCGACAAATTCGACCATTGTGTCTGTTACATGTACGTGAGAGCTGCGAGAATGAGCTCGACATCGCGAGAACACCAGGACAGCAGAATTTAATGAAAATGGATGACACATGCAGGAGGAGCCGAGTCACCGGTTCAAAACAGCGGATATCCTTGGCCCTCCATCCTTTCCGAACCGATCTTCAAACCGATCAAAGTTCAGCACGAACGAGAGAGGGATGAGAAGCCTATTTCCCCGCTCTTTGATATCCTCGACCGATCCAATAAGGATCAAGAGCGAGTCGGCGAGATCAGAGGCTGGAACGACGCGTTATCGTGGGAATTTTTA